TGTGAATCGTGCTAAGTGTTCAACATTGTGTTTCGTTGAACTGTGTGGTGTCTTGTGTGTTCCTCGGAACTATCTTGAGCTTCCTCGTTGTTGAGCTTGCTAGTTATTATCTTAACGCTAGCGTCGTTGTTGTCGATGGGTGGTGACCTGTCTCTTGATTGAGTATGTTTCATACCTTCTTTTGCAATCCGTTGCTTGTTTCGTGTGAGTGGTGGTGCGTGTGTGGCTTTACCTGGATTGCACGATTAGTGGTATGGGACGCTAGTCACCATGGTATTGCAGCGGTCCTCGTGGTGGCCGTGACGTGATTTCATGGAGTTGTGGCTGAGTCCACGTGTTTGGGGGATAACATTGTGTTATCCGGGCATGTGTTGCCGTGAATTGGTGGGTTTTCGTTGGTGGTTATAGGTGGGGGACGACGGTCCCGGAGGAATAAGGTTGGACTTGGCTGTACAGGGGCTTTCTGGAGGTAATGGTTGGCACCGAAGGTACAAGGTTGGGGGTAGCCATAAGGTTGGAACAGGGCATAAGGAAGGCATATCAACTCGTGATGGGTGATGTCACGAGGGCTTCTGAAGCCGTTGTTGTGGTGAGTTCTCTTCTCTCGTGACGTGTGTAGTCACGGAGGCTTGTGGTGTGGTGTTTTGGCATGTGTTGCCGGTGGGTGAGTCTTTATCTTTGTGTGTGGTTAATCTTTGTGGTTGGGACGTGTTCCCGGTTTTGTCCTTGTGAGTGGTGTGTCTTGTGTTGTCTTTTGATCTTGGCTTTTGACTTATATATATGTATTCCGTTTCGAAAATGGTTTTCATAATATATATCTACCTATTTATGATACTTAACGGTATTGGTGGGTTACCAGCATCTTTCGCTGACCGGGCGTCGCCCCGATGTTTATCTTTGTATCTTTCAGGTGATGCGTAGTCGAGCGCGATATCTAGAGCCTGTAGCTTAGCACCTGTATCTTTAGACAGTGTTGTTGAGGCTTGTGTGCCAATGTCTTTAGATTGTTCTAGTTTGGTTGTTTTTGGGATAGTGTTACACTTGCAGATTGTCGCCATAGCGTATACCTAGTGCGGTATACGTGGCATAACACCCCATTTTGGATTCCTTTTATCCAGTTACCTTTTTATCTTCCGCTGTGCTAGTTTTGTGCTTGATCTACAGGTGTTAAGACTCGTTTTAAGTAGTCTTGTTTTTGGGGGGTGTTACAGTTGGTATCAGAGCCTAGGTTTGAACCTTGGTTTAGAGCCTAGGAAGAGTTGAGTCTAGACTTTCTAAGTGTTTAAGTGTGTTTTGAGACCTCTAAGCGACCTTAAGGAGCTAAGTGTTAGGCTTAGGACTCTAGGTTGCGCGGTGAGATGTGTGTTGTTTTTTGCCTTGCTTGCTTGCTTTTTTGTGGTAACCTTGTTGTTGTAGCAGAAGTGCGATGCCTCCTCGTCCTCGCGCCCCCTCCCCAGAGACCCTGACCAACGAGCAGCTCGCCCAGAATCTCCATCAGTTGACGCAGACGATGCAGTCTCTCAGTGAAGCTCTGTTGAACAACAATCAAGCTGCGCCGCCTCCGCCTCCTGTTGGGCACCGTGATGTGGGTCGCCTTGTGTCAGGGCATCGTCCGCCTTCCTTTGCTGGTGAAGAAGACCCTGTAGTCCTTGAAGAGTGGCTACGGGTGTTTGATAAGATTTTTACCGTGGTGGGTTGTCCCGAAGAGAGGAGAGTAGAACTGGCAACGTTCTACTTCTGCCAAGAAGCTGATCTGTGGTGGGTTCACGAGAGTCCGGCCTTTCTTGAAGAGCCTGGGTTTGATTGGACCGCGCTCAAGGACAGAATGCGCGAAAGGTTCTACCCAGCGCATGTGCGAGCCGCCATGTTTGATGAGTTCCTTCATCTGCAGCAAGGACCCCTATCTGTGGTGGAATACCACAAGAAGTTCCTAGAGTTGGCGCGCTTCGCGAGGGTGTTGGTGCCTACAGAGCTTGCCAAGGTTGACCGTTTCGTTGCCGGTCTGAATTATGAGGCACGAAAAGCGTTGACGGTGAGTAGACCCAGTTCTCTTAAGGATGCGTATCTGTGTGCCGCGGATCTGTTTCGTGTTCAACAGCTTCAGAAGAGTTCGCTTGAGTTGGCTAGGAAGAGAGTCGAGAGTAGTGGTTCTTTTGCTTTCAAGAAGCCCCGACCGAGTTTTCCGGCTAGAGTTGTGTCATCTTCTTCTCAAGGACCAGTTAGGATGGAGCCTCCGGTTCAAGCTAAGTCGCATGGTTATCGCAAGTGTGGGAAGGTGCATCCGGGTCAAGTTTGCTCTGGCCAGGCGTTTAAGTGTTTTCGCTGTCGGGTTGTTGGTCATAGAGTTGCGGAGTGTCCTCAGCTTGTTGGTCAGAGAGTGTTGCCGCCACCCCCGAGAGCCGGAGGAGCACCAGGAGTGAGTTCGAGTCGTGGAGCTGTTGGAGCTAGGCCACCGGGGAGAGTTTTTGTGATGGCGCGTTCGCAGGCGGAGTCGGAGGGTCTGGTGGAGGAGGAGCTAGCAGGTAACCCTTGCTTTTGAGCCTATCCTTGTGTCCCCGAGAGCTTTGTGTTCTTTGTTGCCTTTGGTGCTATCTTGTGTTTCGTAGTTGTCTTTGTGTCCTGTTGTTTGGCAATCCTTGATGCTTAGTATAGACTCTTTTCTTGCTAAGTGTTCTCTTTAGTTGGCATCTTGTTTGTGGTAGCCATCTATCCTTGAGTTATCTTGTGCTTAGCCTAATTCTTTCACCTTTGGACTTGGTTGTTCTTACACCAATTCCGCCTAATTCTTTCACCTTTGGACTTGGTTGTTCTTACACCAATTCCTTGAGCTTTTTCCTAAATTTTCCAAGTATTCTTTGATTTGGAAAAATAGCCAATCCCTCCTTGTGTAGCCTAAAAGTTGAGCCTAATGTTTCTTTGTAGCATTTGAGTTTCGAACCTTAGCCAATTTCTTTTTTACCCAACCTCTAAACCACTTGAGTCAATTATCTTTCTTAAAACCTAGCCCATTTTAATTCTTTCTAAACCTTGAAATCCCACTTTGTTCAAAATCCCCAAATTTAATCATCTTTTTCCCCAATCTCACCCAAATCCCTAATTTCTTTCCCCAAATTCTCTTCATCTTTTTCCTTCTCCCTACCCGTGAGCTACCCGAAGCCACCCCACCCCGTCGCCCAGCGCCACCTGCCCGTCGCCGTTCGCCGCCGGAGCTTCGCCGTCCCGTCGCCGCCGCCGTCTGCTGTGTCGTGTCGCCGAGAGAGCTCGAGAGAGAGAGAGAGAGAGCCGCGAGAGTGTGGTAGAAGAAGAAGAAGTTGTGGGCTTTGTTTGTTGAGCTTTGGATCATCTTTCACCATGCCTAGAAGGTCAAGCTTGGCTAGGAAAGCGAAATGGGTGGATGCCCACTACCTTGTGCTTGAAGGTAAAGCTTTTGATCCGGAATCTTTTTCAAGTTCCTTGTTGGATTTGCTTAAGTTTCAAGGTTTGTTAGATGGTTTTCTCGCCATAAGGGCTGAGACTTACCTGAGTTTGGTGAAAGAGTTTTACCGTCACATGGTTGTGACGAAGGAAGGTGAAAGGCTTGAGATCACCTCTAAGGTGAGAGGTGTGAAGGTTGTGTTGTCTGAGAAGAGGTTAGCCCAGTTGTTGTGTTTGTCTGCTTCTGGAGTGGCACAGTACAGTGGTCATTCTTGGATTAGTACGGATACCATGGGGAACCGTGACTATTTGAGTTATCTGTTTGGCCGTACGAGTGGTTTCACTCAAGCTTCGAGGCCGGAAAAGAAGTGGTTATCTGCGGAACAAAGGATCTTGGTTATGTTGGTGTCAGATTGTTTGTTGCCTAACAACAACAAGAGCAGTTTGTTGGGTAACACTACTACAAAATTGAGCATATAATATGACTTTCCACTACACCTCTTCAATAAAAGTGTAGTGGATATTTAAAAACATAGATACGGTGGCAGTACCGTAAATAAATACATAAGAATACACTACACCTTTTATAAAAAGGTGTAGTGGATAAAAAACGTGTCAACTTTCTACTACACCTACCACGGGTAGGTGTAGCGAAAAGTCAACTTTCTACTACACCTATCACGGGAGGTGTAGCAGAAAGTCAACTTTCTACTACACCTACCACGGGAGGTGTAGCGGAAAGCCGAAAAGTCAATAAATTAAAAAATAATAATAATGGAAATGCTCTCCCCCATAAATTTTTCTGCCCCATAAATATCCATTTTACATAATTAAATTAAATTATTCATAATACCACTAAAACCCCACAAATCAATTAGATCAGATCACATAAATATGTTACCACACACTTAACCTATTCAAAAAAAAAAACATAATTTATGATGTGTTCTCATTTATATATTAAATTGTTTTTTTCCCTTTTTAATAATTTTGAGGTTATTTTGTATGTGCAGCCAAGCTATACGCCATGAAGGTTCGAAGTCGAAGGAGCAAGCATAAGCAATTGAATAAAATAAGTTTATTTTCGTTCACGGTTATGTACTACAAAAGTACCATGAATAAGTTGATTTTTTGACGTGTTCACAGTTAACCTTTGGTTGGCAATTCTTTAAATTCGGTTGTGAATTTTCATTTTATAAAAAAAAAATTATCAAAAAAAAAAAGACAAAAAGATAAATAATGATTATAAATGTCAACATATATATATATATATATATATATATATATATATATATATATATATATATATACAAAAAGATAATATATATATAATATATACGCCTATATATATGTATGTATAATGTATACTATATAATATATAATGTAATGTAATATTATATTATATATTAATCTAATAATAATGTAATGTAATAAGTGAAGACGAAGCATATTATGTGATAATAACTCTAATAATAATAATAATAATAATAATAATAATAATAATAATAATAATAATAATAATAATAATAATAATAATAATAATAATAAGAAGAAATGGAAGAATGATCTAGAATCATACATTCAACACATTCACGCCTAACCCACATCAGACTTCACCATTTTCAACATTCTCTCTCTATCTCTCTGTCGCCCATCTCTCTATCTATTACCATGGCGTGAGTCTTGCTTTCCTAACATCAAAACATCACAAATCTTTGCTTCTTCAGCGATTCATTTGCTCCATCGCTAAAAAGGCACTCCTCAGATCCATCTGCGATTTCTTCCGCCAGCTTCCATTTCAGTGATTCATTCTCCATTTCTTCCGCCAGCTTCCATTTCAACGATTCATTCTCCATTTCTTCCACCAGCTGCTGTACTACCGCGACGAATTCGGCGACCGCGCTTACATCTCCGGTCGATCCGCAACGCTTACATCGCTATCCAGGCCTGGAAGCAGGCCATCTCAGATCCGGTGGCAGAAATCCAGATCCGGTGGCGGAGTGCTCAGATCTGGTGGCAGAGAGCTCACGGAGGATGGTCGCCGGCTTCTCTTCCATTTCCGATGCACAGAGCTCAGGATGGTAATTTTTTATTATTTTTTTAATTTCACAGCTTCTATGAGCAGTTCTTTTCTTTGTATTTTTGTTATAGTACTTCTCTTTGTATTTTTGTGTTCAAGGGTTGAAGATACTGAAAAGAGGAGATACTATAATGGCTATGGATCCAAGATTACAAAGAAGTCCAGCTTCCGTTGAGGCGGCGGCACATCTATGTGTTGCGTCTTCAAGATCGGTATTGTATTTGTATTGTATTTTTTTCACAGTATTTGTTCTTTCAAATACAATACAATTATTTTTTTTTTCACGATTTTTGGCCCTTTTAATTTGGTTTTGTTTGAATTTAGTTTGTAAAAGAATTGTTAGACATTATATTCTATTGTATTGTATTGTTTTTTTCTTTAATTTCTTTTTCATTTGTATATTCAGAGTTGATGAGTGTATCAGTGTATTGTATATGTGCGTATTTTATTTTTGAAATTTGGTATCTGAGCCCGTATATCAGTGTATATTTTTTAAAAAAAAATGTTAACTTTCCGCTACACCCTCTCCAATGAGGGTGCCGTGGAAAATCATTATTTAAACAGTTTCCATGACACCCGATGCTATGCGGGTGTAGCGGAAAGTTAATATTAAAAAAAATAAAAAATACTTTTCGCTACACCCGCTACGGGTGTAGCTGAAAGCTAAACCCTTTCAGCGACACTGGATAACGCTACACCTGGTATAGGTGTAGCGGAAACACTTTTAGAGGTGTAGCTGATGTGGTTTTTTGTACTAGTGTAAGTTGGAGTGTACCTTTGCTTTCTGTTTGAAGAATATGGTTAAGTTCAATCTGCCTGCTTTGATGATGCAACACATGGTGTTTTGCCGGGATCACAATCGGAAGAGTTTGTCGTATGCATGGTGTTAAGTTGGATTTTGGTTAAGAAAGGTGTTAGTGTGGATGGTTGTCTCCCGAAGGCTGTGGGAAAGGTGGTGTTGGATACCGCCAATCTCCGGAGTTGTAATCTTTTTCAGTTGGAAAGTGGTGAGTACATCACGCTTGAAGAGGTTGCTAGGAAAGCACCTGTTGAGAGAGCAGAGTTAGCTGCTGACCTTGAGATTCATGCCGGGAAGTTGAGCCTTGCAGTCCAGAGTTTGGGTGGTGACGAAGAAGTTGAGGAGGAAACAGATCAAGAAGAAGAAGAAGGAGCACCGGAGACCGCTGAAGTTGAAGTAAGTGAATCAAACAGTGAGGAACGCCGTAGAAGGGAAGAAGTTCGCACCAAGAGAGGGCAGGATGTCACCTCTTTGCTTCGTCAGCAGAACAGTTTGATCGCCGAGGGTTTTGCGTTTGTGAGGTCGCAGTTTGCCGCAGTGCATCATAGGCTTGATCGGTTTGAAGCTAGTTCTAGTCACAGAGATGAAGCCGAAGAAGAAGAGTCTGAAGAGGCCGAAGAGTCGGAGAGTGAAGAGTTCTAGTTGTGTTGTGGTAACCCCGTTCGTTTCTTTCTTTGTTGTTTCTTAGCCTTTGTAGCTTGGTGTTTGGTTGTTGTGTGCTTTGTGTGTTTGCTTGCTTTGTTTGTTGCCTGGTTGTTTAGCTAGTGTGTTAGTTGGTGTTTGGGTTAGTTGTTTAGTTCTTGGTTTTTGTCTAGAAGTTGGTTGTTGTGTTGAGGTTAGAGTTCTTGATGCCAATCTATCCGTTTGTTGACCTCTTGCCTATCCTTGAATTCGTAATGTCTTTCTCTTTGCCTTGGAACCTTGTGAGAACTTTTGGAGTTTTTGACCAAAAGGGATATTCTTGGACTTCTTGTCACAATTTTGTTTTCTTGTTACCTTTCGTTTTAATTCGTTGTACCCAAGTTTCAGGGACGAAACTTCTTTGAAGGGGGAGAGGATGTTACACCCCAAAAATCCACACTCTTAATTGAGTAATTAATTCTATTTCTTTTGAGGAATTGATTCCTAAAATCCTGATTTTTTATACTCAAGGACTAGTATTTGACTAGTCAATCTTTAAGTGGTGTTGTACCTTGTGCTTTGAGAGGAGTTCCCTTGTTCCTTACACTTTCTAAGAGTTAGTAAGGGTATCCTTGTCTTTTCACCAAGAGCTAGTTTTGTAACCTAAACCTAGAAGACTTCTTCATTTCATTCCCTTACATTTCCTAGAAAATATCTCTACCTTCTCTCTAGAAAACAAGAGTAGCTTGTTCTTCAAGCCAAAAGAAGCCTTTGTCAAGATTCCAAGTTTTGCTTCCAAGATTCAATCTTTCCTTTATTTTGGCATCTAGAAGGGTAAGATCTAAGCTTGTCTAGTCTTTTTGGTTCCATCTTAGTTGTCTTTTCTTAAAGGTTGGATCTTTATGATCTTTTGGTTTGATCTTGAAGTGGGTTTGGCTAGTGAGCTTAGTGGAGAGCTTGTTGTGGTGTAAGGAGAGTCTTTTGGTCTTCAAGAGGTAACTCATGCTCTACAAAACCTATTTTGCTTACCTATATATGATTTCTTGGCTTCTACATGTGTTTTGCTATGAAATGTGAGAGTTTATGCATTTATCTTGTGATATTGCATATCTAGAGCTTGTATTTAGGTTTCCTTTGTGCCATTGCTTGGCATTTTCCTTGGTTCAAGTCATTTTGTTGTGCTTGGTGAGATTTGGCATGTTTTGGAATTGAACTTGTGTTTGGAGGAGAAAATCCCCGAAGGGATTTGTTGTGGTACAGGGACGTACCCGCGGGCGGAACGGCGGGCGGGGCACCACCCGCGGGAACGTATGCCTTGTGGGTGTTGTACCCGCGGGCGGGACCACGGGTGGGGCACTACCCGTGGGTCCACCCGCGGGGAACACGGTGAGGTTGGCGTGGGATTTGATCCCCGTGTTTCGTTTGTCTTGGTCTTTGATCTTTTGGCTTCCCGTTATTCTTTTGTGGAACTATTTGAGCGTCTTCTTGATGTTTCGTAGGTCTAGAGCTTTATGGTAGGTATCCATGTAGGATCTTTGGTGTTGTGTATCGTGCTAAGTGTTCAAAATTTTGTTTCGTTGAACCGTGTGGTGTCTTGTGTGTTCCTCGGAACTATCTTGAGTTTCCTCGTTGTTGAGCTTGCTAGTTATTATCTTAATGCTAGTGTCGTTGTTGTCGATGGGTGGTGACCTGTCTCTTGATTGAGTATGTTTCATACCTACTTTTGCAATCCGTTGCTTGTTTCGTGTGAGTGGTGGTGCGTGTGTGGCTTTACCTGGATTGCACGATTAGTGGTATGGAACGCTAGTCACCAAGGTATTGCAGCGGTCCTCGTGGTGGCCGTGACGTGATTTCATGGAGTTGTGGCTGAGTCCACGTGTTTGGGGGATAATATTGTGTTATCCGGGCATGTGTTGCCGTAAATTGGTGGGTTTTCGTTCGTGGTTATAGGTGGGGGACGACGGTCCCGGAGGAATAAGATTGGACTTGGCTGTACAGGGGCTTTCTGAAGGTAATGGTTGGCACCAAAGGTACAAGGTTGGGGGTAGCCATAAGGTTGGAACAGGGCATAAGGAAGGCATATCAACTCGTGATGGGTGATGTCACGAGGGCTTGTGAAGCCGTTGTTGTGGTGAGTTCTCTTCTCTCGTGACGTGTGTAGTCACGGAGGCTTGTGGTGTGGTGTTTTGGCATGTGTTGCCGGTGGGTGAGTCTTTATCTTTGTGTGTGGTTAATCTTTGTGGTTGGGACGTGTTCCCCGTTTTGTCCTTGTGAGTGGTGAGTCTTGTGTTGTCTTTTGATCTTGGCTTTTGACTTATATATATGTATTCCGTTTCGAAAATGGTTTTCATAATATATATCTACCTATTTATGATACTTAACGGTATTGGTGGGTTACCAGCATCTTTCGCTGACCGGGCGTCGCCCCGATGTTTATCTTTGTATCTTTCAGGTGATGCGTAGTCGAGCGCGATGTCTAGAGCCGGTAGCTTAGCACCTGTATCTATAGACAGTGTTGTTGAGGCCTGTGTGCCAATGTCTTTAGATTGTTCTAGTTTGGTTGTTTTTGGGATAGTGTTACACTTGCAGATTGTCGCCGTAGCGTATACCTACTGTGGTATACGTGGCATAACACCCCGTTTTGGATTCCTTTTATCCAGTTATCTTTTTATCTTCCGCTGTGCTAGTTTTGTGCTTGATCTGCAGGTGTTAAGACTCGTTTTAAGTAGTCTTGTTTTTGGGGGGTGTTACAGCTATAAGCTCGGAGCTGAAAACTGAAGAGCTGTTAAGCTAGGTGTTATGATTGAAAGTGTTTGGTAAAAATAGCTTTTTGATAAGCTGATAAATATAAAAAGACTAAAAAGGACATTTTCATAAAATTTAAATTGGGTTTGTTTACATATTAAAATTTAACATTTTGTCTTTTAAAAAAATTAACATTTTGAAATAAAACTATTAGCATAATCATGATCTAGCATCTCATAATGAAGTAGCAATATTGTTGCAAATCTCATAATAATAATAATAATAATAATAATAATAATAATAATAATGATAATAATAATAATAATAATAATAATAATAATAATAATAATAATAATTGCGGTGAAATTTGCGGATAAAGGAGAATAGAAAAAAGTTTTAATTGGGAAGGGTAAATTATGTCATTTCTTTAAAATAATAAAGATAAAGATGGAAAAAAAGTTAGGAAGCTAGGAGCTTATTTTGAAACGCTACCTAAAGTAGCGTTTCAAAATAAGCTCTTATTTTAAGCTACGAGCTTATTTTGAGAACATTACCAAACAGAGCTTATAGCTTATTAGGAGCTTAAAATAAGCTATAAGCTCCTAAATAAGCTCTGCCAAACAGAGCCTATGTCTCCAATTTTTATTAAGTTACGACAGGACTTGTTTGCCTAGCAACAGAGTTTTTCTTACGGGGTCAAGCATCCAGCTAGAAACAAAATGCTTAGCTTGTACTTGATCACAATTGGAAAGGTACAACTTATAAATGAATGTTCCATCAGAATTGAAGCTCATGATTTTGGATATGTGTTTCTTTGTAATATTTGGTTGTGATCCCTTAGATCAGACTATATAGTCTTAAGATGCAGGTAGTTTCATTTCATTTTGGTATGATTATATATATATATATATATATATATATATATATATATATATATATATATATATATATTTGACATTTCCTTGCTGGATTTAAACCAGCCCAAGGTGGAAGCCACATTACCTGAAGGCCTTCTATTACTTCATCTGTTAAGGCACCAGGTCTGTATTCTGCTAAATTTAAGTGCTTTTGTTTTGTTTTCGCATTTGTGGTTCTTAGTTGCCATAGCCTCAACCTTCGGAGGATAGCCTTGGCAATTGGCATGGATGCTTCAAAAGGATCGGAGACTTCTAGTGTACATTGTCTGGGTGGAATTCTTGCTGATGATGATCAGGTTACTTATTCAGCAAAGCCATTATCTTAATTTTTGTAACTTGTAATCTTTCTTACGTAGCTTATACATTTTGTAACAGGGCCTGGCCTTGGGAAGACTGTGTCAATCATTGCGTTAAAACAGTTGCAGAGGAGAAAGCTAAATCTAAAAATATGGGAGTTATGAAGGCTCAAGCCTTGAATTTGGATGACGATGATGAAAATACTGGTGACTTTTAGGTGATTCCAGAAGCAAGTACTATAAAGGATTTCGTAGAAAGAGGCCAGCTAGCTGCAGGCACATTGGTTATATGTCCAGCTAGTGTTCTTCGACAATGGGCTCAGGAACTGGATGAGAAAGTTACAAATGAAGCAAGACTTAGTGTGCTGAGTTATTCAGTTACTTCAGAATTCTAAGATACGATCCCTATGCTGACTTCAAAACATTTTGTAGTGGTGTCAAGTACCCAATAGCTATGAACTCGATACAAGGTTACAAGAAGCTTCAAGCAATCTTGAGGGCCATTATGTTGCGCCGAACAAAAGGTGATTATACTTCTGTCAATCTAATACTTTTAGTGTTTAGTGTTTTGGTTTTTTCTACTTTGGAGGGATGGCAAAAGTAATTTTGTTCTTTAGTTGTAAACTTGTACTTCCTTTGTTCCCAAAAAAATTGTTCTCCTTATATTGGGATGTTCCAACATGGAAATACAATATTTATTACTTTATTACTCAAAACACCCTTTAAAAACCTACTACATTTATTATAAGAAAAATTTACACAGTGCATTTATTATGGGAAAAATGAAAATATATTATATATCACTTAGTCAATACATTAAATTTACTTTCCTAAATTCGTATGTCCAGTTAAAGAGGACATACTTTTGTAATGGAGGGAGTAATTATTACTGAACTTTGAAAACATCAAAACACAATTTCATTACTTTCTTAATATGAAATTACAAATGCAAGTGGTAATTGTGTTTGGATCAGAGATGGGTGGCAGTGGTGGGGGTAAGAATGATGGTGAATAGTTGGTGATAATGGTGGTACTGGGAAGTTGTTGGCAATAACAATTAGGGGTGGAAGTAGGTGGTGGGCAGTTACGGTAACAGTAATAACAGGTGGGTGGCAATTGTGGTATTGTGGTGGTGGGTGGAAGTATGGTCGTTACTGTAATAGTTGTGGGTGGTGGTGGTGGCTATGGTGGTTGGTTGCTGGCAGTGATATGGATGGGAGTATGGGTGGTGCACTGATGGTTCATGTGCGTTTTCCATTTTTATGAATAAAGGGAGAAATGTTGCAAGTTTACTGAGGAAAATTTGACAAATATCTTGTTTTCCAACTTCCTTTGTTAATGATTATTACTGGAAAGTGGAGTTTTTTTTTTTTTTTTTTTATCATAAAGCCAGTTCTTTTTGTGAAGTTTTCTTTTTCTAATATAACTAATATAAAACTAGTTCTTTTAAAATACAAACCTATATTTTCCAAGCACTTAAAGTATGTTTCCATTAGTGACATGTGGTTAATTTCTTTAAAACAATTTGTGCCCTAAATGTATCTTGGTTCTTAGGAGTTTCCAACTTCTATGGTAGACTGGTAGTATACATGCTTTTCTGTCACTTGGAAGTTGGAATGGCACAAGTGTGGGGATTCCAATCAATTAATTTGTTAGGGTAGAGTTGTTCTACATCCTTTAACTTTGGTCATTGGTTTGAACATTTCGTTTCTTAACATGGATGTCTGGTCTGATTGTTTACTGATTGTCATTGACAGATTCATCTTTTATCATCATTTTAAGGATGACTGAACTATCTTTAATATAGACTGTTATCCCCTGCTGTAGATTCCTTATTCAATAAGAAAGGGGAAATGTATCCATTTTCAAAAATAATAGTGGGGAAAAAAATAGTGAGGCAGGCCTCTTGACAGTCAACTAGCCTGGTGAATTTTTCTAGCCCTATCTCTGCATAGCAATGTACTTGGTGGATTTTCAGGCTTACTCTCTGCATGATATGTACCTCAAATTTATTTGATTCTCACCTAAATTTGATTAGTATGCTTTCAATGTTGATGTTGAGTTCCCTGAGCAATATTGATAACAGATTTGGTAGGTTCAAAATTACAACTGAGCATTGAATTGACACCAAAGAATGTTAATGCATTACCTAAATGCTTTGCACTAATTTTTGAAGTCTCAGAGATTGTGTTACCTAGAAGAGTGTAGGTCTTATGTAATCATTACCAAACCTTTTTCTTCCTCAGTAGAGGGCCAATCTGACCTTAGAACTTTCATGTTTGGTGGAGAGGGTTAATGAAGAAATGTAGTCTATTTTGCAACAAAAAAATACTAACAATAATAATTATTATAATAATACTTTATTTGACTTTGTCCTTTTATTCTTTCTACCAACCTCCTGCACTTTTCACAGTTAAGTTTGCTAGGAAGTATAGATGTTTATACTATTCTTGTAATGCTGAAATATTAGATGTTAGATGTTAATAATCTTCAGTGTTTTATTCTATGTACATTGATTGAGGGCCAGCCAATTATAAACTTACCACCAAAAACTATACATTTGAAAAAGGTGGCTTTCTCTGCTGAGGAGCGTGATTTCTATAACAGGCTAGAAGCTGCATCTCGCTCACAATTTAAGGTGCCTTTCTATTTTCCTGTCCATGTATTAAAATGTGAATGTTGTGCTAAATTATTAAATTTTACTATTGTCTTCCCGTTGTTTTTAATTGATATGAAAGATAGGGCTATGTTATTCCAAATCTTGAACTAGTGTTAGAGATTTTAATTGTTCAAAGCTTCACTAGAAATGCCAATAAAGCTTGAACCTGCACAATAACTTTGATGTATCATCATATTAAATAATGGTGAGCAATCTGTAGAGAAAGATATTTTTCAACATAGATGAAGGAATTCTAGAATCAGTATAGGTTGTTGGAAAAGATATGTTCTAAAATGGGAAGATACTCATTCATGCTCCTAAAATGTCATTTTAAGCATGGATGGGGTTTTAGGTTTGTGAAATGGAGGTGTGGTATTCTTGGCAGGGTGCATTGGATAGATGTGACGTTGTGACGCCGTGTATAACCCAGAACAGGATTACAGGGTCTACGGCGCCCCTGCGTATAACGGACCGGGGATCTCAACAAGTCCTCTACACCTCAAGGAGGAACAAGGATCCATGCTGTCCCGAGAAGCGCTGCGAGACGTGCCGGAACCTGGCGGGCCATGATTTAGGTGACATAGGCGACACCAGGCGTAACAACCAGTGGCACATGCCCCGGACCTTGGGCTAAACGAGGTGAACCCACAGCACCGGGACGAACCAAGCGACCCCAGGAGCCATCTAATCGTAACAGGTGAACCCACAGCACCGGGAGTCCGGGACGAACCAAGCGACCCCAGGAGCCATCCAATCGTAACGAGCTTCTGCGAGGCGTCTGATGTAGTCTCAAAAAAAAATTTAAAAAAAAAAAACAAACAAAAAAAAAACTGTAATCATCTCAGGGGAATAAATTGATTAAATTTGAAGTTCGGACTAAAATGATATGCAAAATCAAATCTTGCGGAATTTAGCTGTAACCTTTGAAACAAGGGAAGTTCCGAGTGGAAATGTGCCTTTTTGCTATATTTTCATGGGTCAATGCTGCAGGTTTTTTTCCTCTGCATTATTTTCTGCTAGAGATTCTTAATTAATCTTTTAATATTTATATGCTTCGCTCAATAGGATCCACCCAAATATGCTGTTGTCACTTTGTGCAAACATGTCTTTGTTGAAATTGAGGGATTGATAGGTCTGGCGAGTGGAGAATAACCACCACCCGCTAGTTAGGCGGAAGCAAAATATGTGAGAACCAAAGAACAAGAGAATAAAGAGAATATATTATGATGAAAGATTACAATAGAATGTCTCTCTTAATATATGTTCTATACTTCAACGGACCTCTATATATACTAAACTAAATACTAAATTAGTCTAGGAAACTACTAATAAGAATAGGAAAGTAAGACAACTTTCCTAATATTCAACACTCCCCCTCAAGCTGGAACATTTGGAAGTTCCAAGCTTGGATTAAAACAAGCACTCTACCTCACTCAAAATTACAAATGAAAAATTAAATGCAACTAGAGGATAACAATGCGAGATGGCTTCGGAGGGACAATGCAACCCTTGGGAATGAACACGCCAGGGGCAAAGCTTGTCACGAACATCCTTGGGAATGGAGGCACCATGGGAAAACACGAACACCATCACAGCAACATAAGCACTCTAGGATGGATGACTTCAAAAGGGATTGCGCTATGTCTGACCCTTCCTTGGGAATGAGGACGAAGGCACCAAGAACGGAGCTGAACACAATCCTTGGGAATAAAGACGAAGACACCAAGGACCCTTGGGAATAAAGATGAAGACACCAAGGACGAAGCTAAACACGAACTTGGGAATGAATACACTGATGACGGAATTGAACATGAACCTCGGGAATGAAGATGAAAACACCAAGGATAGAGTTAAACATGAACAACCTCCCGATAACACAAGAGAGCAGTAGAGGCAAAAAGGGTTGCAAAGGACGCAGTAGAGCCCATAGTAGATAAAATTAAATAGCAAATGATAGTAAAGGATAGCACACCGATTGTAGATAGTCACACTCCCCCTTACTTGAAACATGAGAAATAATCTAAGGCCTTTATAATAGTGTTGAAACTGGACATCCATAGGATTATTTTACAATGCAGAAATGTAAAGCAACCAGCTTTTGCTTGTATATATGTAAGAAATGTGTATTATTTTGAGCATTAGCAGATGCTGTTATGTATTATAAAATTTGCTTTGGTGCTTGTGATGTTGGATTAGATGTTGGTAGTTTGTGCAGGAAGTTGGAGCATTCATGCATTTCTGTCAGTAATAATTGTTGCTTTCAATTTGTCATTACCTATTTTTTTTTGGAGGTAACCCAAGGTATCCACTATTGGACACCAACTAATTTCCTCGCTACACCTCTAAAGGGTGAGACAGTTCCTTTTGATTCCTTGACATTTGATTAAGGATAAATGAGACATTTCCACTCAATCACACCCTCCAAATTCTCAGGGAATGCACGTTAGGACGTGCACATAGATTAATCATTTCGCCCATCATATACAATTAGTATAAAATAATATAATATATAATTTAGGAATTGAGGTTTAGGTCAGGGCGGGGATGTTTCCCCCATCCTCTCCCCACGGGAAGGGAAAAACTCTCTCCTTCTCTGCCCTTGTTCTCTTTAAAAAAAAAAAAAAAAAAAAAAAAAAAAAAAAAACTTTTTTAAAAAACTAAATATCCAATAATGGTACCCAACATAAAAATTCTTGATTATATTAAAATATCTTTTTGAATAAATAGTGAATAATTTTTTTTAAAAAACAATTATAGAATCTATATTATATTGAAAAGTGTCATCATGCGTCCATGTATTACCCATCAAATGTTATGAAAAACAAAAGAGATCATAAAAGTAATAATTATGATACTATTGTTATTTATATTAAGAAGATTTTTTTATACTAGTATGATTGATTATTATTGTAACATTTTGATTTATATTAAGATTTTTTTTAATTAGAAATACAATCAATATTTGGTAAAATTAGTAAAATTGATTTTGTAAGTTATTAGGTAAAATAATTTGATATTTATTATACACTATCACAATTTTAATAGTTATATTGTTCTATAAAAATTAATAATATAATATTTTCGATGCAATATACAATTCCATAAGCATAGACATATTAGAACATATATCTAATTTTGGAGTACTAACTTACACTCACTGTTATTAGATTTATTATTATATCAATGCTCGACATTAGATTTATGAGGGGTCGTTATATCGCGCACCGCGCGTCAGACACTACAGTGTATCTAAATCGACACTGGCTCACGTATTGTTTTTGTATTATCAAATGAAACTACAGTTATATCAAAATGATACTGTAGTTGTGGTGAAATGAAACTACAGTATATATAAAATGAAATTGAATAACATTTCATATATTTGAGTGTATATTGTACAATGAAGCTATAATTATATTCAAATGATCATGTAGTTGTGTTTTAATGAAATTATAGTGTATATAAACTAAAATTAAATAACATTTTCACATATTTGAGTGTATAAATATTGAATGAAACTGTAGTTATATCGAAATACAATTGTAGTTGTGTGGAACTGAAACTGAAGAACAGAGTTATGTTTTACGAAGATTATGTTTCTTTTCATTAAATAAAACGACGTCGTTTTAACAGTGCATAATCGATTATGCACCGCGGTGCACGATATAATTTGCCATTTATGAGTTAGAACAAGTGAATTCAGTTTGAAATAGCAATCCTGATCATATTTGGAAATGCAATGCATGTTATGGACACCTTCACGAACGAAGTTGGACTGTGGGTTTATTGGATTTAATGAATTTGAAAGGTAAATGTTGAGAGGCCCATTTTAATTGGAGTTATTTCCTTATTTCATGTGGGAGCCCAAATGGTTAAGGCAAAAAAAAAAAAAAAAAAAAAAAAAAAAAAAAAAAGAGATATGGTGCATGAGTTTCCCAGTATTATTATTTGCAAGATTTCAAGACTTCCTTCCCTCTACATTTAAGGCACGTCAAATTTCGAAGGGACAATTTGTAAGCATTGAAAATTTTAAATAATATTGTTGGACTGTGATGGATAGTTGATTACTTAATTAAGCTAATTAGACTGGTATTTATTTAATCGGGTTAATTAAATGACCCATTAAATATTTAATTGATATAATTACTTAATTAAATGTAATTGGATGTTGGATTGTTCGGCCCGAGATGATGAAATATTTAATCGAGTTGGACAAGGCTATTGAATCAATTGGATTGCATAATTAGCGGGCTTAACTTGATTATGGCCCACTAAAGTTATATGTGGACTATATAATTTTGAGGAATTTGGATAATTTGATATTTGATGAAATGATGAACCTGGACGCAATGGTGTCCCGATACGTACTTTAATTTAATTAAATTAGGAATTAAGAGTTGGTTGGAGATTTTCCCTCACCTTCACCACTATAAATAGTGGTTTCATTTCCAAAGAATGGGCTATGGAAATCTGCATAACGAAGCTCTGCTGAAATCTCGTCAGGATATCATCTGGAACACGCCCCCACACCCGCAGTTGAATTGTGCATACTGCGCTGAGGAATACGCCATTTGAACACCGGAAGCCCTTCTTTGAACATCAAGCTACATATTAGAGATGCATATTAGCTCTTCATTGAGGAACAGGCTACTAACTCCGGAGGCCCTTCAACAAGGAACTACTTCCAGTTCGGCATACTCCCGGACTCGGCATACTTCCAGTTCAGCATACTCCGGACTCGACATACTCCCGACAAGAAACTACTTCAAGTTCGGCATACTCCGAACTCGGCACACTTCCAATTCGGCATATTCCGAATTCGGCATATTCCGAATTCGGCACACTTCTAATAGGCATACTCGTAATAGAGAATCAGAGGACTTCTCCTATACAGAGATTGTACCCCTTCCCGTTTGATATATACTTGAAACTTCATTGTAACCGATACTTTGAATTTTGAATATATACAATTCAAGTTTTTCGCGTTTACAACTCTATTTTCAAGACATTTGTACATGATGTCTATTGCACGCTCAAAAGTAGGGTTGAGCATAGCAAAACTGTTTAAATTTTGGGGCATTTAGGTCTTCAATTGTAATTTTTTTTAAAAAATAAAAATAAAAATATAGCGGTTAAGCGGATTAATCCACTTTGTATAAAAATGATCGAAACGGTCTTGTATTTAGCAATATTTCAACAATTTTGTTGACGAATGATAAAAAATGATTATGCCACAATAATACTAGGACCACAGATGGATGTTCTGAAAATGAAGAACTAAAAATGGATTTTTACTTATAAATCTAGAACTAAAAATGGAGTTAACTCATAATAATAATTATTGGAATTTGATAGGAAAGTGTATCCATGCACATCGCACGTGTTATGAAAGATTAGGTGATAATGATAGTCCTAAAGGAAAATGTCACTTTTTTCCCATGTGTTATATACTTATAACACTTTTTTCACTTGAATTATTTAAGTGGTAGTTTTCTACCCTAATATGTTAAATGGACATATTACCGTTAAAATAAATATACCCAAACAGAAATGTTATGATGCGAATTTAGAACCGGAACTCGATATTTAGAGTTTATTAAAATTGCGAACCGAAATTGTCAGTTCATGTTCTAAATTGAAAAATTAAAATACATTAGTTGTTGAATTTAGAATATTTTTTTTTTAAAAAAATAAAATTTTAAAAGAAAGTTTGAACCATCAGTTTAAGTTGGATCTGAAACCGTGAATTGACGGTTCAAAATCAAAAACAAATCGCGTTTATATATACTTATATGTGAGA